TCCTGGGTTTAAGCGAGTCTCCTGCCTCCGCCTCCCAAGTAGCTGGGACTACAGGCGCCTGCCACAATGTCCAGCTATTTTTTTGGTCAGAGCTGTCATTGCTGTTTGGCGGGCCCAGGCTGGATTCGAATCCACCAGCTCAGGTGTATGTGGCTGGCGCCTTAGCTGCTTGAGCCACAGGCTCCGAACCACATGCACGTTTTCTCATCTTGAAATTATTACTTACTCTACCTTCAACCCCTCCCACTGGAGGAAGAATGAACAATGTTTCAGCAGCCTCCTCCCAGTCCCTAATAATCCCTTTCTTCTGTGAAATAGCAGCCTAATCTGGCAGCTCTGGGATACCCTGCTGGCAGGGGCAGTCCCACCTGGGCCAGTCTGGGCTCATCTAGGAATTCCAAGTTGGGTCTGAGACTGGGGCTTATGACCCACGGAGGGGCCATATTTGTCTACTTAGCCCAGCAAAGCAGGAAGAGGCAGCAGAGAGAATGTACCCTTAGCAAACCTAGTCTGCACTGGGCGATTCTGTTCTTTTCTGAGACAGGGTCTCAGTATCCCACTGTAGTTCACTCAAACTCCTGGGTTCAAGAAATCCTGCTGCCTCAGCCTCCTAAGTAACTGCTATGTACCATCATGCTAGCTAATTTTTCTATTTTAATTTTCATTTTTTTTTTTTGAGACAGAGTCTCAAGCTGTCACCCTGGGTAGAGTGCCATGGCATCATAGCTCACAACAACCTCAAGCGATTCTCTTGTCTCAGTTTTTCTATTTTTAGTAGAGATGGGGGTCTCGCTTTTACTCAGGCTGGTCTTGAACTCATGAGCTCAAGCAATCCACTTGCCTCAGCCTCCTGGAGTACTAGGATTATTGGTGTGAGCTACTGTGCCCAGCCTAATTTTTCTGTTTTTAGTAGAGACAGGGTCTTGCTTTTTATGCAGGCTGGTCTCAAACTCCTAAACTCAATGAATACCCCACCCCTACAACCTCCCAGAGTACCAGACCTGGCTGCCGGGTTTCACCCAGCCTTTTCCGATGCAGGCAGACAGCAGGGGTGAGGCTGGAGAGCCCTTCCTGCCTGACACACCACAGGGCCGTTGGAGAAGCTTCTAACCCACAGGGATCTTTTTTTTTTTTTTTTTTGAGACAGAGCCTCAAGCTATCCCCCTGGGTAGAGTGCCTTCGCATCATAGCTCACAGCAACCTCCAATTCCTAGGCTCAAGCAAGTCTCCTGCCTCAGCCTCCCAAGTAGCTGGGACCACAGGTGCCCGCCACAACGCCCGGCTATTTTTTGGTTGCAGCCATCATTGTTGTTTTGGCGGACCCGGGCTGGATTTGAACTCGCCACCTTAGGTGTATGTGGCTGGCGCCTTAGCCACTTGAGCCACAGGTGCCGAGCCACCCACAGGGATCTTAACTGAGACATTTCGTCTCTAGTGAGACAAAAATATTGAAGTTGGCTGGGTGCAGTAGCTCAAGCCTGTAATTAATTCTAACACTTTGGGAGGTCAAGGTGGGTAGATTGCCTGGAGTTCAAGACCAGCCTGAGCCAGAACAAGACTTCGTCTCTAAAAATAGCTGGGCGTTGTGGCAGGCACCTGTAGTCCCAGCTACTTAGGAGGCTGAGGCAAGGGGATTGCTTAAGTCCAACAGTTTGAGGTTACTGTGAGCTGTGACACCACGGCACCCTACCCAGGACAACAAAGTGATACTATGTCTAACAACAACAACAACAAAAACTGAACTTTATCCAATATAAAACAAAAGAAGAACCCTTTTGGCATAGGTTTCTGGTGAGAATGGCTGTCATAGAAGCATAAACGAACCACCATTAGCATGAGAAAAAGTAAAGGTGACATTGTGTAAGCTGCACTCACCTTCAGGGAGGTCATACACGTTTCTTCGCCGTCGGAGCAGGTACCACAAGAAGAGCAGGGTGTAGACCGCTATGGCAAGGCTGCCCGAAACCCAGATCACTATGTTTCCAAGCAGGTGGATCTGAGCCTGAAAGTGCACGGCAGGTGCCATTAGCCACCTACCTGTCCTCTGCTCAGGGAGGGGGAGAACCACACTACAGAGATTCAGATGCACACTCTACTTTGGAACAGCACTTAAAAAATGCTAGGCCCAGCCGGACGTGGTGGCTCACACCTATAATCCTAGCACTCTTGAGAGGCTGAGGTAGGTGGATTGCCTGAGCTCATGAGTTTGAGACCAGTCTGAGCAAGAGTGAAACCCTGTCTCTACTAAAAATAGAAAATCTGAGGCTAGAAGATTGCTTGAGTCCAAGAGTTTGAGGTTGCTGTGAGGTATGATGCCATGGCACTCTACCCAGGTGACAAAGTGAGACTGTCTCAAAAAAAAAACACTGCCAGGCACATTCCAGCACCCCAGACATTACTGCTAATGTGGACAGTGCTGTGGGCATGTCTACTGCTAATCAGACCTATCAGACTTTCATGGGAAAGTGCTGACACCCTCCATCTGTACACGGAGACTGAAAACTGGAAGGAGAGGAGACTCACTGCCATGCAGAGTCATCACAGTGGGACAGCAGTCTGCACAGGGAGCTCGAGTGCACCCAGGACTTGCTCTATCCTACTTCTGAGTGAGAAGGAAGAAGGCAAGCACTTCTGAAACTTGCCTAATGACAATTTTGTTTTTTTGGTTTTTTTTTTGAGACAGAGCCTCAAGCTGTCCCCCTGGGTAGAGTGCCATGGCTTCACTACTCACAGCAACCTCCAACTCCTGGGCTCAAGTGAGTCTCCTGCCTCCGCCTCCCAAGTAGCTGGGACCACAGGCGCCCGCCACAACGCCC